AGCGCCCGCCGGCTCCCACCCCCGCCCCTCACCGTTAGCCGGGAAACCGGGAACACCGCCCTCCTCCGCATCCGGGCCCGACCCGCCCGCCCGCGTGCGCCTGCGCGCTGGCTCCGCCCGCGCCCGCCCCTCGCTGGTAGGGCAACTCCGCCGTCGCAGGCGTGACGCAAGAGGCGATGAACCAATAGGGAAGGTAGGGGGCGGGGCAGAGGCGCGGAGAGGGGCGGAGCCGAGGCGCGGGAGGGGCGGGGCCGAGAGAGGTTGACCCCTCGCCCTCCCCCTGCCAGGGCTCGGCTGAGCGAGTTGCATCAGAGCCGGGAAAGCGACAGGCTAACTGCTGGGGTTCCGAGTTTGGGGGCGTCCAAAAAACATGGGGAGGGGCCGGAGAGGGAGGAAGCGTGGATGTTTCTATCTCCCTCTCCCTTCCTCTCTGGAATCAATAAAGATTTTTTAAAAAACGTGAAGAGGTTAACGGAGGAGCCACTGTGCAATGAGTGCAGCGCAAAGATGCATTTTTCAACCCAGCCTCCTCCCAACACGGTCGTTAGTGGACAGCGCGTGGTCAGCCTTCTGTGCCTTAAAATAGCGGCGCCTGCAGAGGGGGGCAGCCCTGGGTTAAATACAAGCGTGTTTTGGCTGCATCGCTGACAGTGGCTGCGGGGTCCAGCTCGCCGGGCCGTTTGGCGTTTTTTTGTTTGTTTGTTTGTTTGTGTTCCTCACCCCCCAGTCACTCTGACAAGCCTTGCGGCGTGTCCGTGTCCGAGATACTGGGGACCGAGCCAGAACGCTGAGGTCTGAGGTCCAAGGGTTCAGGTCCTACCTAGCAATACAGACGCTAAGTGCATGGTCTACACATGGACCGGAATTGCTTTAGCATCGACCATTCCAGTTATTTTGAGATCCTCCTCTGGGACCTCCTCCAAAACCCCCAGCTTAGCTCCTAAAAGCCCTTAGGATGAAGGACCCAGAGGCCACGCCTGTCCCCTCCCCCTCCTCCCCCAGCCCAGGCGTGTTAACTTTTTTATCCTTCTCTCTCCTAACCGCCAAGGGCCCCCTGGTTTTGCCTCTGTAACTGGTTTCCTAAGCTGATTCCTTCTACAGCTCACTCCTACCTCTGTGACTTTCTAAATAAACTTTCTCTTATTAAAAAAAAGAAAGAAATAGAAATAATTTGCCTTTAAGCTGTATACCCAATGCAACTTTTAATAGCTCCAACTCCTATCTGACTCAATGACACGGAAAGTAGTAATTGCCCAGTGATGTGGCGTGAAGGGGTTCTGCAGTGAAATCCCACACCCTGACATATCGCCCCCTGAACTTTGAGGTTCAGCCATTAGCAGCTCATACCTCTGGGCAAATGGTTGCTCACTTCCTCTGGCAATCTTTAAAAATGCAAATATGTGGTCTGTGTGGAGAGGGTGGCTCGGTTGGTTGGAGCATCATCCCATGCACCAAAAGGTTTCGGGTTCCATTCCTGGTCAGGGCCTATAGCTACAATTCGAGTTTGATTCCTGGTGGGGGCATGTACAGGAGATGGCCCTGTGTGTGTGTGTGTGTGTGTGTGTGTGTGTGTGTGTGTCTTTCTCTCAAATCAATCAATAAATTTAAAAATTGCAAATACTCCAGGGATGGGCAACATTCTAAAGGGGAGCAGAATATGCCACCCCAAAATGTGCCACTTTGGCACGTGGCTTATTTTGAGCCGAAGGCAATCAAGACCCAGCCTATGCAGGAAAAACTTGGACCTCCCCTTTAAGTGCCGGAAAGATTTCCGATAGGGAGCCTACGCCAGGAAGAGAGCCATTACCACAGATTAGTGTTTTATCTGAGAGACTCCCTTGCCTGGCCGGGCAAACATCTGATTACCAAGTATCTGCTCTCCTCGTCTCCTTATCAGTTGGCCTGCTCCCCCTTTGAAGTCCTGGGCCCCTAATCCATTCCTCAGCTCAATTAGTTGTCTGACTGCCTTTGGGGCTCATATTTTCGTAAGATTCCAATACATCTGAAATTAAATTTGTTTTTTTTTCTCCTGTTCATCTGTCTTATGTCAATATATATATATTATTTATTTCAGAGAGGAAGGGAGAGGGGGAGAGAGATAGAAACATCAATGATGAGAGAATCATCGGTCTGCTGCCTCCTGCACGCCCTCCACTGGGGATGGAGCCCACAACCTAGGCATGTGCCCTGACCAGGAATCGAACCGTGACCTGCTGGTTCATAGGCTGACGCTCAACCACTGAGCTACGCCCGCCTTGCAGTCTTATGTCAATTTAAATAGCAGGCCAGCCAAAGGGAAGAAAGGAAAAAATTTCCACCCCTGCCATACGAAATCCCTAACAAGTTAGTAAAAGAGACACATCAGGGACATTGTCAGTTGTTTAACGAATATAGTTGACTCTCCAACAAGTTGGGATGAGGGATCCCAACCCCCCGACATAATCAAAACTCCTTATATAACTTTTGACTTCCCCAAAACTTAACTATAGTCATCCCTTGGTATCTGTAGGGAATTGGTTCCAGGATTGCCCCCATAGATGTAAAAAATTCACGGATGCTCGAGTCCCGAATATAAAATGGTGTCGTACAATACACACAGTTGGCTCTCTGCATCCTCGGATTCCCAACGATGGAGGGAAAATACTGTTTTCCATCTGCCGTGGGTTGCATTCTCGGATGCAAAACCTGAGGATAGGGAAGGCTAACTGTCTATTTATTGAAAAAAAAAGTGCTTGTATAAGTGGACCCATGCAGTTCAAACCCTGGTGTTCAAGGGTCAGCTATATATCATGAGCACCTTTCATGTGGTAGGTACTGAATTTCCGTGAACTCAAAGAGGAAGGAAAGTCAACCTTGACCTATTTTTACAGTTTTACCAAAAACGAAATCTATTCTTACTTACACATCAAATTTCACCCACTAATCTCAAAATGGCTCATTTTTTTAAAAAATGGACTAAAGAAGTCATAAAAATGTTAAGGTTTGTTTCTCTTGCATGGAAGACCATAGGTGATCATGAATAGATGAGAATGAAACAGACTTTCTATGACAATGGTACACAATTGGCCCTCAAAATATTACGTATTTGTTAAAGGCACAAGGTAATGTCACTGTGACTTTTCTCTGATTATCTGAGTTATAAAGTATTTTAACCAAGCTACCATAGTATTGAGTCTGTTCAAGAATATCTTACAACATAGATATTAAGTATACATATTAGTTTTGGAGTGCTTTACTTTATTAGAAAGACTATGAATCTTTTAAAAGTTGCTTTTTAAAATAGGTACCTCGAAACTTTAGTGAAGAGGATGATTCATAATTCATGCCTCCATTAAGATGTTTAGCAACATCCACTCCTTATTGCAAAATGTATCAGGGTAGGTTTTCATAAGATTCTTTAACGTAATTTTCTCTACTAAATCACTGATAGCATTTTAAATCCCCCAAAGTATGTATACTTTGCTTTAAAAACCCATGTCATGCCCTAGCCGGTTTGGCTCTGTGAACAGAGCGTCGGCCTGCGGACCAAAGAGTCCCGATTCAATTCCGGTCAAGGGCACGTACCTTGGTTGAAGGCTGCTCTCCTAGGTCAAGTTTGACTTTCCTTCCTCTTGGAGTTCATGGAAATTTAGTACCTAGCACATAGTAGGTGCTCACACAGTAGGTCTCTCTCACATCAATGTTTCTCTCTGTCTTTCCCTCTCTCTTCCACTCTCTCTACAAGATCAATGGGAAAATATCCTCGGGTGAGGAAACAAAACACAAAACAAACCCATGTCATTGCATTAAAAAATTTGTAACCATCATATTTTATGAGATGATCTTTTCAACAGCTAAAAAGTGTTGGAAGAACCTAAATTTCCCTTCTTTGCTGGGGAAACCATGCAGAGTGTGTCTTCCTGTCCTACTTTAAGTAAGTGGGAAAGACTGTACTTGTGGGAAACAATGTCATTAATTCTTATAAAAGCTCCTTTTTTTTTTTTAACCTTTTAAATTCGGGATTGTTTTCCTGCCCAGAACAGAAAATATATGGCATAGTAATAAATGCCAGTGTTAAGACAAGTATACAATATGGAAAATGAAAGTGTTCTGTGGTCTCAATCCAGAAATAACCACACGTAAGTGACACATGCCCACTGATGTTTGGGGGCAGATAGATATATTTTAAATGTTTTTTAAGAATCTATTTGTATTGATTTCAGAGAGAGAGAAACATCAATGATGAGAGAAAATCATGGATCGGCTGCCTCCTGCACGCCCCCCACTGGGGATCAAGCCTGCAACCTGGGCATGTGCCCTGACCGGGAATCAAACTGTGGCCTCCTGATTCAGAGGTGGACACTCAACCACTGAGCCACACCGGCTGGGCTCAACCGCCATGTTTTAAAGTCCCATCAGCCGCTTGCCTACCACTCTTCGAGGTCCCTGAAATTCCACTTCTTACTCAAAGACATCTTTTTATCCAAATGGGAATGATCAAATGTTACATCCCACCTGAGCCCATCTGTACCCACTTATTGAGCGAGTCCTGGTAATTAGGCCACGCCCCAGGCCAACAATCCCGGTTCCCTGGCATCCAAGCATCAGAGCTGGAATCTCTCCAACAAGGGACTTGGGCTCACCCCACCCCAGCGTAGGACCTTCGTTTTCCTTCCCTCTGAGCAAGCCGTCCGCAGGAGCCAGCCCCGGAGAGCTCAGGGCTGCCGGGAGCCCACCTGCTGATCCCCTTCCCTCAGTGGTGTCAGCCAGCACCCAGCCTGCCCACCCAAGCCGCCACGCCCTCGGGTGGCCCTGGGAATCCTCAGAAACACGTGGACCTGCCTCCACAGGTGTTACCTTCTTCAGGAGAGCCAGGAGCTCTTCTCTGCGGCAGTCGCCCTGCAGGGATGTTCACCGCAGGCTCGCTATGGGCCACATACTCTGTTCCCTGCCCAGCCACGGGTCTCCACGCCCAGAAGCAAAGCTGGGCCGCTTGTCTGCAGTTTGGTTCTGGCTCCCGTTCAGCTGAGCTCGGGCAGGATCCCTGTCCTGGCGTTAGAGGACACGCACAGTTGAGTCACGCAGCCAGACCTTATCAGACGGCCAAGGCAGACCCTCCGGCACTCCCTGATGTCCCGGGAGGACGATCCAGGAGCAGATGGCGAAGGCAGTGGCTTCATGCACCACAAGGGCCTCAGGACACAGCCCCCCAGGGAAGGATGGGTGAGCTACCCAAAGAGGCGCTGCACCCAGCCCTCTGGCTCCACAGCCGCTCTCATCAAAGCCAAATCCTCACTGGAAATGGCTCCTCGGACGCCCTGAGCTGCCTCTTTCATTCAGGGACGGGGCTTGGAAATGTCTGTGTTGCCGGGAAGGCGAGTGGCCTTCTCTCCCTCCCGCCGGCTCTTTGGCAGGTGGCCACGCTTGGGTCACATGGGGAGTTTGGCAAATCCAGTCCGATCCCTTTGCCGTGGAGCTGCAGTCGGGGTTTCCAGTCAGTGATTTTGAGGTGGATCCTCTGAGTCATGGTGCCCTGATTCTCCCGCAGAGGGGGAGGGGCAGGTTGGGCTCCCGTGAGGATCAGCGGTACTATTTTTTCTAAAAATTATTATTCATTTCGGAGAGGAAGGGAGAGGGAGGGAGAGATAGCAACATCAACGATGAGAGAGAATCATGGATCGGCTGCCTCCTGCACGCCCCCCGACTGGGGATCGAGCCCACAACCCGGGCATGTGCCCTTGACCGGGAATCAAACCGTGACCTCCTGGTTCATAGGTCGACGTTCAAGCCCTGAGCCATGCCGGCCGGGCTGGGACAGATTCTAATTGCTAAACTGTCTGACCTGAGTCCACCTGCCCGGCCTCGGCCTGCCTCCCCACCCAATACTCCCGGCCTCGCTCTCCCTCCCAGCCTCGGGAGCCTGCGTGGGCAGAGCTCCAGGTCTGGGCCCTGGACGCTCCTCCTCCATGCCTTCCTGTCTTTGCCCACTTGAGCTGAAAAACCACATCCTTAGGAGCCCTTCCCTGCCCGCCTCTATCTCCTCTCTGAACATCCTGCTGTGTCCCCCCACTGTGCTCATGACTAGGACTGATTACATGGTTCTTTGCTTCCTTTGGTATTTTCTGTCTCCCCGCCTCCCCGGAAGCTCATGGGAACAGAGACAATGCACCTTTTGGGTTCATTGCTCTATCCCCAGAACCTCCTCCTTAGTAGATGCTCAACAAAAACGGGTTGAATAAGTGAATAACCATCTATTTCACTTTTCCTCTGGTGTGGTGGCTGGGGAGCTGCCCAATCTTTGTGACCTGTCCTTCTCCTTCTCCTTCTCCTTCTCCTTCTCCTTCTCCTTCTCCTTCTCCTTCTTCTTCTATTTAAAAAATACATTTTTATTGATTTCAGAGAGGAAGGAAGAGGGAGCGAGAGATAGAAACATCCATGATGAGAAAGAATCACCAATTGGCTGCCTTCTGCACGCCCCACCCTGGGGACCGAGCCCACAACCCGGGCGTGTGCCCTGACCAGGAATCGAACCATGACCTCCTGGTTCATAGGTTGACGCTCAACCACTGAGCCACGCCAGCCGGGCTTGTTTTTTGGATAGCAGAGTGAAAAGAGAACAGATTACAGCCAAGAGACTCGGGCTCGGGCCCGAACGTGCTGGGACTCACTAGCTCTGAGACGTGAGCCAACCCTGCCACATGTCTGGGGCTCATTTTGCTCATCAGCAGGACAGGGCTGCAGCGAACAGACTGATGTTCCTTTAGGGGTGACATCTCAGTTTCTCAAGACGACCCGTATGTCCCATCCCTCCTCCCCAGCACACGCTCTGTGAAGCCACGGAGCCCCTAATGGGAGTTCGGTCTTAGCAACTCGGATGCCAGTTCATTTATTATTTAATCTCGGAAAAGAGCCCTCTCCTTTTCCAGGCTTAGCAGAGGTCATCTTAAATTCCCTGGGTTCCAGGCACTCCGCTGGGAGAGCTGGAAAACTAATTAGCAATGAGCAACGCTGAAGAGACCAATCTTAGCTTGTAAATTCTGTAATTGTGCATAAAGTATTATTATTATTTTAACTCTGTTTTTATTTGTTTCCGAGAGGAAGAGAGAGGGGAAGAGAGATAGAAACATCCATGATGGGAGAGCATCATTGATAGGCTGCCTCCTGCACGCCCCCCACTGGGGATCGAGCCTGCAACCCGGGCATGTGCCCTTGACTGGGAATCGAACTCTGACCTCCTGGTTCATAGGTCAACGCACAACCACTGAGCCACACCAGCCGGGCCGTCAAATATGACTTGAATGGTTCCAGATGAACAATTACTCTTGCTAATCCTGGAAATGCTCCGTGTTATCCAGTGCCAGAGCCTGAAAGAGGAGCTGGAAATATGATCTAGATCTTTGGCGAATGATCTCAGGGGCCCCTCACGCACGAGAGTCGAGGCTGTTTCCGATGACGTGTTCGCACCAAATGCCAATTTGTCAGTCTGAGGCTGTGGCAACGCTAGCGTGATACCCTGTGGGTCTCAGGCGACCTTTATGAGCGTACGGAACATGTCACAGCTTTGCAGCTCCGAGGCATGGAAACCACAGCACCAATCCCCCCTCCGCCATTGTGTGGGGTCTCGGGCACAATTCTATGAACGCTGCTCGTGGTACCCAAAGCGCCTCCTCAGCATTTCTCTGCTCTCTGCACTGCAGATGCCAGGAGCACTCAGAACACCTATTGATTATTGCCTGGCCGGCGTGGCTCAGTGGTTGAGCGTTATTACCTATGAACCAAGAGGTCACGGTTCAATACCCAGTCAGGGCCCATGCCTGGGTTGTGGCTCCATCCCCAGTGAGGGGCCTGCAGGAGGCAGCCGGATCCATGATTCTCTCTCATCATGGATGTTTCTCTCTCTCCCTCTCCCTTCCTCTCTGCAACCAATACAAAAATATTTTTTAAAAATAAAATAAAACGGGGAGAAGACTATAATGTGCCTCACAGAGCTGCAGCAGGCCAGCGCCTAACCACTGGACTACGCCAGCCCGAGCGCTTCTGTGCCTGTGGGCCAGCACCCGCGCCACCTGCAGCGGGCGCCCCCTCCGGGGGACACTCTGAGCCAGTGGCTCCGGCTCTGATGTGGTGGCTCAGAAGCGGAGTCTTGGCCTGAGGGCCCTGTGCACAGGAAATTAGTCAGGGGGTTGGAGAGGAGCCAAGGAAAGACCCAGAAGCTCCGAGCAGGCCTCGCTGGGAAGACGCTTTGTAAAAATAAGAGCAGGGCCGCATGGGCTCCGTCAGCCGATGCTCTGATTCAGCAGCACGAGTGGCCGCACCCCATGATGGAGGCGGGAAGCCCAGCCCTGGAGGCAACCAACCAATGGCTGTGTCTCTCTCACATCGATGTTTCCAGAATCCGCATTTCCCAGGGAACAGTGGATCAGGGGTCCAGGCTCCCAGCAATGCTGCATTTTTAATAATATATATTTTATAGATTTTTTTCTTTTATAGAGAGGAAGGGAGAGGGATAAAGAGTTAGAAACATCGATGAGAGAGAAGCATCGATCAGCTGCCTCCTGCACACCCCCTACTGGGGATGTGCCCGCAACCCAGGTGCATGCCCTTGACCGGAATCAAACCTGGGACCCTTCAGTCCGCAGGCCGACGCTCTATCCACTGAGCCAAACCGGTTAGGTCGCATTTTTTTTTTTAAGTGACTACCATTCCATTTTCCTTTCATTTTAAATACAATGTACATGCTTACGTACAAACGGCAATTTGTATTGAATTTTCATGATTTGATGAAAAGTCTGTGCTTGAATGGAAAGTCTCAGGCTGAAGAACAACGGCGTCATTGATCAAAACACTCAACTAAGAGGAAAATTGCCCTAGCTGTTTTTTCTCAGTGGTTAGAGCGTCAGCCCACAGACTGAAGGGCTGCCGGTTCAATTCCGGTCAAGGGCACTTACCTCTGGTGCAGGCTTAATCCCAGGCCCTGGTCGGGGCGGGGGTGGGCATGTGGGAGCAACCAATGGATGTGTCTCTCTCACATCCATGTTTCTCTCTCCGTATCTCCTTCTTCTCCCTTCCACTCTCTCTCAAAATCAATGGAAAAACATCCTCGAGTGACGATTAACAGCCACAGCAACAAAGAATAGAAGAAAATAACAACACAGGAATTCAAGGGACCTGTGTGCTCTGCATCCGAACAGGCGCTGTGCGTTGGGGATGCTACTTTTGAGCGTCTATTCCAGTCCTGACGGCAGCGTGGGAGAGCGGCAGGTCACCCACAAACATCTGCTCTGCCCCCCACCATCAGCCAGCTGCTTATATTGGGTAGGAGGACAAAGATGACTTGGGGAAGTAGGCGAAAGGGTGGCCGAATGGGCAGTTCACAGGTAAGCAGAGGGCTGGGGGGTGGGGAGGTCTTCAAAGGGCTGGTGATTCTGGTTTCGCAGCAACTTGACGAGGAGGACGGGCCACATTTCCAAGTGAGCTCCCAGGTCCACGTGTAACTCCCAGCCAGGTTAGCCTGTGCCTTCTTTCATCAGAATAAAGCCATCACAGTTAACAGAGCATGATGAATATTTCTTACCATTCTAGCTGGTCCCCCAACAAGCTCTTTCTGCCCCTAGAAGGGCTGTTTGTGTGAGGACAGGATCTTCTGGGCACCGTGGAGATGCCCAGCCCGGCAGATGCCCAGGAAAGGCACTCCAAAGCCAAGAGCCGTTCGTTTCGTCAGCGAACAACCCCCTGGCGTCCTGTCCCCGGTGTAATAAGATCCGGACAAAGAGCCGGAGCCAGGGTCCCTCCGGGCCATGTCTGACAATCCCATTACAGGGACTCGAGTATCGGATTCCGCCGCCCGTCTGTCCGTCAAAGCCTCCATTCTGCTGTCATTCAACTGGAGAGCACGCACAGCTGCACAGGTATGAACCCTGACCTCCTGGTTCATAGGGGCGCGGCTCACCGCCTTCATTACGTTTCTGAGGTTTCCTCTGCGTCCTGGGCCGGAGATCTAAGGCCTCCTGCCTGTTTGAAGGGCCTGTTTTCCTCCAATCACGGACAGCAGCCCTGACAGGCGAAAGGAGAGACACCTGGGCATGGGATTCACCCTCGGACGCTGTAACACTCCTTCCTGCCTGAGAACAGCTCATGGGGAAAATGCATTCTTCCATTAAACCCGCCCTGGCCGGTGTGGCTCAGTGGATAGAGCGTCAGCCTGCAGACTGAAGGGTCCCGGGTTCGATTCCGGCCAAGGGCATGCACCTCGGTTGCAGGCTCCTCCCCAAGGCACGTGCAGGAGGCAACCAATAGATGTCTCTCTCTCTCACATCGATGTTTCTCTCTGTCTCTCCCTCTCCCTTTCACTCTCTCTAAAAATCAATGGGAAAATGTCCTCGGGTGAGGGTGAACAACAAGAACAAAAAATTAAACTCAAGAGTCTGAGCAAGCAATTTATCCCGTCTCCCGGAGGGAAAAAGTGATCTGAAGTATTGAGGGTAGG